CCCCAAAACCCCAAAACCCCAAAACCCCAAAACCCCACCTCAAAATTCAATAATTGAAATTTTAATTAAAGATATGGAAAAATCAACCACTTTACTCACACTTGAACATGAGTTAATCAACAAAATTCGCCAAATTCAGAAGGCCATTTACCACGAAGAACATAAACTCCATCAAGAAATCGCAACCTCCCTCACCATATCTAACCCAATGGGCTATTCCAAAAAGCGACATATCCTCTTCATAACCTCAGTCCCTACTTCCAAGACTTATCCACCAACCGACCCTCCCATTCGCCCTTTATGCTCAATGCAACAGGACCGACGTGTGGGTCTCTATTTCTCCAAAAGTAAGCATTTTCCACCTCTCCTTGCCCAAATCTCTTCTTTAATCTCTCTTCTAAAAATTGCACTTCTCACCACTCAGTCGGCCAAAACCTGTAAACTTTCCCTTCTCAAGCAGAGATTACTCATGCAGGCGTAGAGACTTAGGAGAGGGCATCTTGGGCAGAGAGAGTGCCAGGAACAGAACTTGGGGCTGGAGGGATAGATAAGGGAATGTATATGGGGATAATTAGAACACACTTGGAGATATAGTGAAGGCTTAGTGGTTTATTGAGATTGTTGTGAATTAAATGGGATTTTAGTAAAACTTTAGATTCATAATTCTATAGATACACACAATAAAAACAGAACAATTTTGGAAAATCTAAAGACATCAAAGATAGATAAACTAAGTATTTCAAATTACGGAAACTCAAGATGAGTCACTACAATTCCAAAAGTCTTCAGATCGATTACGAGGTCACTCTGCACCTTCAGTGGCACAATGGTCCTCTTCAAGCTGACCATTTCTTCTTCCTAAACTCTTACTCCTGCTCAAGGCTAGTTCTCTAGCACAAGCTGTGACCTTGTCATGGGCCAGTGTGATCTATGATAAGGTCAGAGGAATTACCAGGGGGAATAGGTGATTGGGGAATTTGAAGTTTGTTAATTGAGCGGTGTATTCAGGTTGGGAAGATAATCCTCAGAAATTGGTCGATCTTATTGAAATCATCGACCAAGTTATTGAACAGAAAGGTGTGGGGAATCTTAAAATAAAAGATGCATATGTTTCACCAGAATTAGTGCTATCTATTCAAAGGAGATTTCCTTATGTAGTCCATGAAGATAAGCAAACTATGCAGTCAAACCAAATTTTCTTACCACGGCTTGAATTAGGCCATTCTAACCAAACTACTCTTCAGTCATCTCATACATAATGTCGCATACTTAAGCAGAGTTACTAATTCTTAAGGATTTTCATAAAATTAATGCTCGAGTAACAAACAGTATTACCCAATTAGACTGTTTAAACTCTCATGGCTCTGAAATAAATCCCATAATTTCAACCACTAATGGAAGACAAGGGGTTTTGGGGTTTTGGGGTTTTGGGG